GAAGCCATTTCTCAAATAGAAATACTTGGAAAATGTGCTGAGAGTACACTGGGTAAAAAAGGAAAAAATCGGGAGCCACATGTGGCGCACGTCGTCCATTATGTGTTAAAGGCAGTGGTGTAGAGGCAAGTGGCGTCACTCGATACGGATGCGGTCTGAGGATCGAATCGTGGATCCTCAGACCGCGTCCGTCCTAGCTAACCAAGCAAGGAAACCATCCCTTCCCAGTGGCCTAATTTGGACCAGACTTGTCTAAGAGCATAACAACATTGACTTGTATTCTACAACGGTTGGCCACTGTACTCAGTATAGACCAACTCGTGTCCAAATCCAACTACGATTTAGAATGCGTGGCGCACCTCTTAATGGACCGATCCACGATCTAGCCTTTATCTTAGTTTCTGCATTTCCAGAAAGCGTCTCCAATCAGTGTTCGGGAGCGGCCGTCGATCGGGTGGCTAACATGGTCGTAGCGGGTTTCATGCGTGACTCTACCACCACGTTCTCTATTGGAGAATGCATCGAACGATGCGTTCAAGCTGAAATCATGCTCGGATTCCAGTGTTTATCGATCATGTATTACTATGAGGTAAGCTATCAAAGGTAGAACATATTACCTCATACTCAAATAAGGGTGACCTCTTCAGGAGACTGTGTTGAACTGCATTCTGAATGACGCCAGTGTTCGAACAAATCCCGAATCACTAACAGAGGTGAACTCAACAGTTGTCGATTACTTTGGTATTGACGACTGTTATGGGCTACCAGAGGCAATGGATGACCGTCAGGTTCTCTTTTTTTCGACAGCCTAATATCATCATTTCTTAAATTTAGTCGAGTTTATATGAAAAGCACACGTTCGCTGTTTTGCGCTTATCACCCTAGTGCGGACCACGTGGTGCTCATGGTGCACCACATAGCCACACGGATGGCGGTCGCTTTGCTTCACTTATCCAACCATTTTTCACATCCCATATATGCATAATATTAACAATCTTCGGGATTTACGAAGAATTTACCAATGAAGTACCAATTCATTGACTTATTGGTGGTAGTTACTAATAATAATTAATCGTAATTACTTTAATAGTTACTAATAAGGGGAAAGGTCTTAGGATGAGGAAGCGGTCCAAGTACAATGGCCCGCAACAAGAAAGGGCCGCCCCGCAACCGTTCGCGTCGAGACCTAACCCGCAACAAGAAAGAGCCGCCACGCAACCGCTCGCGTCGAAACATAGCATCTGCTCGGTCGTAAGCATCACATGATAATACTTCAAATCGACGCCGCGTCGTAACTTGGCAAACTCAGTTGTCCGGCGTGGCGTTGCCCGCGAAAACGCCGACGTCACTGTTCTTTTTCATGCTCTGCTCGGCCAACTTCGTAGCATTAGATGGATCAGTGACACCAAAGCCCCACGGGTTAACCACTTTGTGGCCCTAATCAGGAAGGCATTCAACTTCCCATGGAACTTTGATTAGACCCAGATATATCGATAGAGCTTCAAACGCTGATTACAAATATGGAAACTAAAACTGCAAAATGAACCTGCCAAGGAAGTTGTGAGCAGTCAAAGTTGGCTGGAAGTAAAGCATTACATATGAACCGTGCTAGCTTCCGGCTTTCAAAGTCGCAGTGGAGTAGTGGTAGTGCTCTCGCTCTCCAGACCCGGGAGGCAGGGTCGGTCACCGTTGGACTTTTTGCGAAATTTTATGCGACGCGCTTCCTCAGCGACAGATTTCATACACCTTGCATACCTTCATACCTTCATAACTTTTTTCCCCTCGAAGAAAACATCCGTCGAAGGCGGCGGAGGTATACTCGAAACAGCAAACAGGCCACATTTTCTCATGCGCGCGCCTCACCTCAATTTAAAATCGGGATGTGCTGGATGTGCCCCCCGCCCCCCGGGAAGTGCAGTGCGACTCCCCCACCACAAACTTTCAACAAACTACGACCCCCACCACAAACTTCAACATCTAGCGACCCCCTCGTTGGTACTGTAGCCACGGTAGGGTTGACCTGCAGGGAGGTCGCCGCATTCCTTCAGGCGGGGGGGGGGTTCCCGAGTGCAACTTTCGAGAGCACTACCACTACTCATAGGCGACTTTGAATGCCGGACGGTACCACGTTTCATATAAAACGCTTTATTTCCAGCCGACTTGAACTGCTCACAACTTGGACAGTTCCATTTTGCAGTTTTTGTTTTCATATTGTTCAATGTTCGAATCTCTATCGAAATATATGTCTTGATACAAAGTTCCATGAGAAGGTGAGTGACTTTCCTGGTAGTCTGCAACTACGACGAGCCTGCCGCGGGAGTTACGGAAACCATTTTATTAATAGTCAATAATAAGAGGAATAATATAATAATCATTAATATAATACTTACAAATGATACCATGCCATTCAGAACTTCATCAGAGTCCCTCCTCCTGTCGACGATAACGCCATCGTAACAGAACAAGCAAAAAGGTAAGGGGTACGGCACTTTTTTAATGTCCCCTTTAACCGACTTCTTATTTTCAGCTTTCAATCCAAGATGAGGAGAGGAACTCGTCCACAACAATACAGCTCAGGGATTGCTCGACATCGGCGATAGCTCCGCCCATCCGCTGCATCCACCAATCGATCTGGCCATTGACAAGCTTTCAGGACAGCATAGTATAGTCCTTTGACGCTTAATCATCACAAAAACTACGTTCACTCGATTCGGGTACACTATCCTGGCAATATATGTATACAGTAAATGCACCTTGGAAGACACGCGCGGTTGCGTCGCGGCACTGAAGCGAATACACTGTGCCGCGACACATCTGCACGCGTCCACACCTCACGAATCTATCTCCTGAAAACAATTTCGTTAATTCGTTGATGATCTGGAATGTCTCTATACATGTTCCTAACAAAGCCTTGTTGTTGTATAAATTGTGACTGTTTGAACGAATAAAATTTACAATATTTATACTTTCTGAATAAATCACATACGATCATCGTAAATTATAGCCTTAATGGTTGTAAACTATAGATTGCGAGACTCATCATCAAAATTATATTCACAAACGAACGACGCGAAATGGGATAGGCAAACGATGGGGTGCCCTGACCATGTCTGTGTAGCTGTGCCGTGACAAACCGCATTTCACCGTCTGATGGACACAACAGACGGACGGACGGCTAGAGGGGATAGACAGATGGGGAGAGAGAGAAACTGTAAGAGATCGGAACACTACCTACTCAACTCGGCACACAAAATAAATTACTATTTGCACGCGTAAAGGCATCCCTAAGCGTGCGAGTAGAAGACAATGCTCAACTAGTGGTCCGGCCGTAGACAGCTACATATTAGTATAAATTATATATTAGACTCTAGACACTACAAATGATGAGAAAAATATATATATAATAAGAAAGTGGTGGAGTGAGGGTGAATTCGTCGACGCTATCATGGATACGATTCAACTACAGACAGAGTGGCGACAGATTTTGTGAAAAACTGGGAAATTATCTCAGAGAAACTCGACCTTCCTAGGATGCCTCCTGTCGCTGAAGACGAAACGATGTATCAACCGATGACAAAGATAGGAAGAGAAGAAAAAACAAGGTGAGTAACATGCACACATCAAACAGAATGAAAACGATGGAGTGAACTGTGACTAGTAGACCCTTATATCGCGAGAGCCGCAATGAATAAAACAAATAGCACCTTATCAACAACATACAGGACACAATAAACACACTCGCACCCAAAAAAGGAGCGAATTCGGAGCACATTACGATTGAGCAGCAACGGACCGGCCGTGATGAGGATTATAAGGAGACGGGCAGGCGCCAACGGTAGAATGAGACGATGTCAAAGCTCGGCAACGGGACGACAAACACCGAAACAGCATGTGGACCAATTGCAACTTCATTGCTTCGGCTGAAAAATAAGCTCTTCATAGTATCACCAAATAGATACCTGTACCGACAAGGTAGCTCTACGTTTATCGCTTCATAACCATGGCCTCAGAAAAAAAGGACATCTCGTAAAGCAAAACTGCCAACAAACAATTTGAGTCGCAAAGTTTTAACAGTACATCAAGACATTTATCAGGACAAAAAAATCGATTCCGATCTCAAATTTTAGTATCAGACGAATGTGCATATTTATCATAACAGCCAACACCCCAATCAAAGGTGTGTCTTAAGAATCATAAGATTTTGCCACTTTTCTGAAACGTTTTTATTTTTTGGTCTTATTTTATTTTATTTATTTATTTATTTCCACACGTGAAGAAGACGTGCTTGGTAGGTAAACATAGTATGACTCAAATAAAAATACTATCAGCAACTCATAGCCATAGCCCTCAAGAACGAGATGGCTTGAAAAGATTTCGCTTACGCGACCCCGAAATAACCTGTGTGCAAGGAACTTTACTTTTAGAGCGGGTAGTCGGTACTTGAAGCTAGCTCAAGAATATATCAGCTAATCTTGTCGTTAGCTCAATTCAAGCATCGTATGACCAACATCCTACTAAGGTATTAATAGTCCCGGAATTTTGTGAGACTGATTATCAAGCCAACTTATTTGTGTTTTCTATCTAGTGACCTAGTTTAGTTGTGTGGGTGTTCATGGTCGATTTTGGTTTGTTATTTGTGTTGTGTTATTTTTTACGACGTGTGCCTTATGCAGACGTAATAAAATCATACTAACTAAAAAACCAACGAAACGACAAGTCACGCAAATTTTACTGGAATGACTTGGAAGCCAATTCCAGCACTACAATCCAGTTCAAACTTATGAAGTAAGAAATTTCAAAAAAAAAATTCGACAATCCATATTGTATCGAGCACATCTGGCGATACACTAACAAGGGAGGTCGTTCAGGGTGTGCCAAGCTTTTTCAAAATGGTTTCTTGCATGATATAGGGGCACATATGGGGACCACAGAACCATGGTTCATTTTTCCTGAACGGCCCTCTGAATACCAGAAAAGGGGTCCCTAGTTCGATTCCTCGTGGTGACAAATTTTTGCATTTCGAGTTGTTTCAAAATTCGCGCAAAATGGAGTTAGCATGAATAATTAGTACCATATTCATGATTAGGACCGTCAGTAACCCTTACAAATAGACTTTGATTGAAAAACTGGTGAAAAAGGTGTGACATCACAACGCATAGCAAAAAAAAACTTAAAAAAGTACAGAAACCTCGTTGACATCTACGCTTCTACCCAGCTATGAATATATTCACATCGCACCCAGTCCATAAATGGACCAGCCAATTTATAAAAGATAAGAAAAAGCTGCTAGATATGCATAAATTATGCGACAATTAAGCAATAGGTCATAAGAAGCAATGGGCTAGGTATAAATTAGACAGCATTATAAAGTGGATAATCTGAATTTATTCTACTAGAATTTTGAAAAACGAAACAGAACGGGTGCATTTCACTAAAAAAATCGACGATTCGAAATTGCATGCAGTGAAATTTTAGGAATCGATTCACTTTCACAAAATGACCCGTTTAATGGAAAACCAACACTGACCTGAATCTGTTGTTGTTTCATAATTTGCTGTTGACGAGCCATAGTCGCTTGGAAATTTGACGCCGCAGCTTGCACGTGACTTGTCGCCACACCCGCCGCTCGCCTTCGCGCACCTTTAAAAAGAACAACTTTAACTTTGACTTTACGACATAATTACATGTAGTGGAGAACAAAATAAACAATATGGTTTTAACACAAATGGAAATAAATGATAAATCCGACAAACACAAATGAAAAGACTATGGCTACGTTGAGGTGAAGCTAAAAAGCAGGTAATGATTCTGC